CCCCAAAACCCCAAAACCCCATGATCAGATTTGAGGTAGAGCAGAGATGATAAAATAAAAACTAAAAAAAATCTTATTAATGGAAAAATACAACTCAGCCGATGGGTTAAATGCGCTCATTAAATATCATTAGTATTGCTACTACCATGAGGTTTAAAAATAAAACTATATTAGAAATCTCAGCTTTAAGTTTTCTGATTCATATATAAACACGATGTCATTAGATTCAGAAATTAAGAAGTCTGTTCCTAGCATGCGCTAGGCTGATGCCAAAAATTATTAACAAAATCGTATATTGGTTTTGGATGAGACTATAAGCGTTAAAAAAAACAGAATAGAAACTACTCCAGCATCAGAATCTTATTTGACATTTCCCTTGCCTGAAGATGTGCTTTTTGATAATTCAAACAATTATTTATCTAACTTCTTCATACAAAACAAAGATTGCTCAATGGCTTCTTTCAGTGCTGAACAAATTAATTAAATAGACAATGTAGATATTCGAGCATCATCTACATATGAGTCTTTTATGTGTTAAAATGGTTCAACAACAATTATAGGATAACTCATACCTTAAGAAGATCATGGAATGTTTGAAGAATAAAAATAATAAATAGTTGAAATTGCTCCTATAAATAACGAAGATATTAATGAATTGAACGAATAATCCAAAGATTCAGGTGATGAGAATGAAAATAAAAGTACTTATAATCTTCACTCTAATAGAAGAGCTGAAGAGAAAAAGAAAATTAACTTCACAAGACATAGAAAAACCAACGAGTAAAGGAAGATTCTAGAGAATGAGTTCAGAAAGAACCCAAATTGGGAAAGACCACTGATAGAAGGTCTGGCAATCGAACTGAATTTAATGACCACATAAATCTATAAATGGTACTATGACAAATTGCACTATAAAAGTAGAAAACTTGCAAGACTTGAGTAATCTTAATTCTGATCAATTTAGAATTAAGACAAAAGAAATACTGTCAGTTTAAATAATGATGCTTTTAATAACTTAAGATAAAAAAAACAACAGCATCAGAAATATTCAACTAAACTATTCATCCAAAGCTTAATTATTAATGATTATTTATATATATTGTCACCTTTGATAATAGCATAGAGTATACACGGGGTTTTGGGGTTTTGGGGTTTTGGGG